CCAGAAGCTGGTACACTTCTCCTGAAGGTGCGTGCGTACTTTCTTGAGACTGCATACCATTAAGGATATTATCTCTTCATTTTCCTGTGACGTGTACAATGTCTGCAGGGTATGCTGTTTGGGGATAACAATAAGGACAGGGAATTGGCTATGGACCTAGTAAAAAAGATGTGGCAATGGTCGAAGGATGTGACACGTGCAGTTCATGATCTATGGAGGTAGCTTGGCAAGAACTCTGCAACTCGTGTTGGCTGACTGACAGATGCCTTGTGATATTTTTAAGATTACCTGCGTATTGAAAACAGAGAAGAGAAAAACCTGAAAGGATTAAGAACCCTTTGAGATCTGGGGCGCAATTTCGCAACAAAAAATTGTTGACGGAGAAGGGAAGCGAGGCGGAGGAAGAGACGGAGGGATGTGATGCACGAGGTGGTGGAAGAGAGGGGCGTGAGGGGAGGAGGAGGAGAGAGGAGAGAGGAGGAGAGAGGAGGAAATACGGGGAGAGCGGAGGAGAGAGGAGGTGAGTGGAGGAGAGAGGAGGAGAGAGCAGGGGAAGAGAGGGATAGGCGAGGCATGCTGTGCTCACCTTGCAATCCTGCGCCAAATCTGGGACATCGTATTTATCTCACCTTGCGATCTTGCACGAGGAATCGAGCCCCATCAGCCATGCATTGAGGGAGGAGAGAGGCGAAGGGGAGGAAAAGGAAGAGGTGGGGAGAGGAGGAGGGGCAGAGGGGAGGGGGGGGGGGGGGGGGGGATGGGAGGGAGGTTGTGCTTGGGCTTGACTGAATCTCACCTTGCGATCTTGCATGAGGAACCGTGCCCCATCGGCCATGAGTTGAGGGAGGGGAGGGGCGACTGGGAGGAAGAGAGGGAGGTGATGCACTAGGTGGTGAAAAAAATAGGCGTGGGGGGAAGATGACGAGGAGAGAGGAGGAGAGAGGACGAGAGGAGAGAAGAAAAGGGGAAAGGAAAGGCTTGCTCATCTCACCTTGTGATCTCGCACGAGGAATCCAGCCTCTTCAACCAACAGGCTTGGGAGAAGAGTGGCGAGCGGGAGGACGAGAGGGTGGTGATGCAGGAGGTGGTGCAAGAATGAGGCTCGGGGGGGAGAAGAGGAGGAGCAGGGGGTAGTGACCGTCACTGGTGTTGATGCTGGTTGTGTGAAGGACTGAGCTGGCATGAGCACGCAATCATACATGCACTTGCAATCATACATACACATTCAATCACATATGCATAGTCAATCACACATGCACATCCGATCACACATGCACATCCAGCCACACATGCGCATCCAATCACACATGAACATGCATAACCGCATGCATTCACGCATTCATGCAAGACATTCATGCCTGCATAGACACAGCCATACATGCACGGCCCAATCCACGAGGATGGATGCAGGGATGGCACAGGGTTGAGAAAGCAAAAAGAAGAACCACGAATGTAAAAACCCTCGAATGGATGGCAGGGATGGCACAGGGTTGAGAAAGCAAAAAGAAGAACCACGAATGTATGGCATCAGGAAACAATGAACAACCACGAAGCAACAGAAATAAGGATAACATACCATAATCCACGAGCGTAATAACAAAACCCAATGGACACACGCACGGCCACGTGCACGAAACAAAACACACAAGTGACAAAGCAGAAACAAGATAAAATGCTCATGTTATAACCAACACTCCCTATGCCAATACACACAACGGGCAAGGGGGGTCTTCAACGCCTCTCACCTCTTCTGGCCACGAGGGTGCGGTAGGAAGAGGGCTCTCAGTGAGGTGAGATGCGGTTCAGTGCAGTGAAATGTGGTTGAGTGCGGTGAGAAGCGGTTAAGTGAGGTAAGATGCGTTGTAGTGTGGTGAGATGCGGTCCAGAGTGGTGAGACGAGGTGGGTTGGAGACAGGAAACCGTGCTTTGGGGCAGGGGCGGGTCTTCAACGCATTTCACCTTTTCTGGCCAGGCGGGTGCGGTAGGAAGAGGGCTCTCAGTGAGGTGAGATGCGGTTCAGTGCAATGAAATGTGGTTGAGTGCGGTGAGCAGCAGTGAGGTAAGATGCGTTGTAGTGTGGTGAGATGCGGTCCGGTGTGGTGAGACGAGGTGGGTTGGAGACAGGAAACCGTGCTTTGGGGCAGGGGCGGGTCTTCAACGCCTCTCACCTCTTCTGGCCGGGTGGGTGTGGTAGAGAAGGGCGCCCAGTAAGGTGAAGCAAATTTCTTTTGGTTAGCTTACCCACCCTTCCCTCTTCCCTAGTCCCTGCTTTCCTCTCACTCTGATTCCCCAACCACCTCCTCCGCCTCCTCCTCCTCTTCCCCATCCCCTCTCCCTCCTTTCCCCCCCCTTGCTTCCCATCCGCCTCACCCCGTATTACCCATGCCTTCAGCCAGTCCTCTTGAGAAGCACCATGCCATCCAGTCTTCAGCAATGGCAAGGGAGCAGTTGGACAGTAGCACCATGCCTGGAACGATATGCTGTGAGATGATGGGAGGGCATTTCAACCGCACTGCACCGCTTGATGCTCCTGATCCCTGCTGTCCCCTGTTATCGACCTGCTGCCCTTCCCCTGTGCTCTGCTCCACTACCAACCGCCTCTTCATTGGGGCTTCAGGCACTGATGGTGTAGCAACAGCTGTTGCGGATGAAGCGGCATGAGCTAGGGATGTATCCTGGGCGGTTGATGGACTGTTGCTAGCGGCACTTGCTGTTGATGCGGCAGAATTCACTGTCGCTGATGATGTGGCACTAACTGCAGATGCATTCTGTGGGGCCGAAGGGCTGATGCTAGTGGCAGCAGCTGATGTGTCACCCGCAGCACTCACATTGACATTGGTTCCTGTGGCCTTGTGACCCGCATTCCGAAAATTTTGGGCAAATCGCACCTTTACACCCCAGATTCGGCAATGCCACCTGCTCCCTCCGCTTCTTCCCTCCCTTGTCTCCCCCCTCGTCGTCTCTTATCACATCTACTCCGGAAACTTCTGGGAAGAAACTCAGGCTGAGAAGCGCCAGCTGGCTGCGTGTGATTGGCTGCTCGAGGCGCCGGACCTCCCGCGATCTATGGCGGCCCAACCCGCCGCGTCCTGCGCCGCCTAGTGCGGCGGACATGCCGTCTGCGCTGCTCTGTGAATCGCCAGAGTCGCCTGCTGCCAATGCTCGTCGCACGGTTGTCGCATGGTCGTGCACGACAGGCGACGGCGTATCACAGTTCTGCCATGGGTCTGAAGATTCCTCTCTCCCTTCCCTGCCCTTCCCATCTGGTCGTGCGACTGAAATTGTCGCACCTTGTCGCGAGGCCTGGGGAGGAAACGTCGCAGGCGACGCGGAGAATGCGACGAGAGAGAAGGCGAAGTGCAGGAGGAAAGCCGAGCAAAGTGTCAGGATGGCGGGTAATTTGCGATGCCTAGGTATTTGCAAACGCGATTGACGGCCAAGATTCGGAGCAGCTGTCGACCGTCGGCTGGATGGGTGACGGATCATGGTTTTCATACGAACTTGGTTAACATTCGGTCGCATACGAGAGTAACAGACCTGGGGGGTCCTACTAGACAATCTGGTTCCCGTTGTCAAATCAAATTCCACTGACACTGAGAATCTCCGGTACTCAGAATAACAGCCGTCACTAATTTCTTCGCGTGGCTGTCCTCAGTAGTTTTCAACCTCAGTAGTTTGCTTGACACTAGGGACGCGTCGCAAAGGTCGCTTTCTGTGCCGTAAGAACCGCGATCCCCTCGGATCCCATTTTGCGCTCGATTTTCCCAACCGTCATGAGGAAGCGATAGGCTGATCGAACAAACAGGTGATAAGCAACAACAAATGAATTATTCGCGTAACGAGGAAGCAATTACTGGAGACATATTGTTTAGTCGAAGAGGCCTTCACAGAATCACAGCCCCGTGAACTATGAACCTGGGGGGCGTGGCTATACAGTACCTGATTTCCCAACTGTCATGGTTTTCTCGTCCGGAAACGAGTGTTCCACGACATGATTCACTTTTCTCGCACTGGAATATATTTGAGACCTTAAGTAATTTCACGGGTCCCGGATCATAAATACGCCCACCGAGCCAGATTTTGATGCCTTGGGACCCTCGATGATTTGGGAAACTGGATCATGGGGAATGTGGTGGATGTTACCGGTTGATATATCTCAGCGGACAAGCGAGTCCGCCCGGGGGAGCTCGCTGCCCACGGGCAAAAAAAATAAAACCCTATCGGGCATGCATCCGGTCAGGGAGGCATCAACCCTAAACACAGGGAGGCATGGATTTAGGGTTGATGCCTCCCTCGGATGGCATGCCATCCGATAGGGTTTTAGTTTTTTTCTGCCCGGGGCAGCATGTCGTCAAGTCGTCAGGCTTGACGACCCGTTTCCGCTGGGATATTCCAGACCTGACCACGCTTTATCCTGTTATCACACACCAAACCGTGTACAACCTGTCAAGCCTTCAAACCGAAGGCCTGGACCCAGCACGTTCCACGCTTCACCCATGTGCACACATTTGTATCTCTCTGCCTTTCACCAATCCATCAGGAAAACCTTCCAGCAGTCCGTACTTTTCGGAGATTAGGCAAGGCCTCCAGCAATGCCTTGCCATCCTAGTGCCTCGACCATATTCAGGCGGACCCGTCCTAGGCAGATACGGGTTTCAGTGGTCGATGGTCTGATCAGAGAAGTGTTTTTATTGCCAAATCGAGCCAGTCAGAATTCTTACTAGTGCTTTCCTAAGTACTTTTTAATGCCGAGAATGTGTCAGTCTCATGTGTGGAACCACAGCCCTGCGTTTCGCATGTTCACCATGCTTCCGTAAACGTTTTATTAGAGTCGCTTCTCCGGAGATGCACGCTTATTTTGTTGTGACATGGTCACATACAGTTGTGAGTCACCTCTGCTGTTTTCCTTCAGCCTGAACTCACTTCGACCTTGCTGCTTGACAAGAAGCTTGGGCAGTAATAATGAGTCCTTGCTTCATCTGCGGTGTGGATAATTTCAGAAGCGCTGTGCGGGCGGTTTGCCCGAATTGCGTAGATGTATCTTCAAGTATTAACCACTTGAAGAGGAGAATTGAGGAATTGGAGGAAGCGAAGAGTAAAGCCGCTGGGTTGCTTCCACAAAAACTCAAAGGCATGCTGCTGGATGCTTCCTTTTGTGATACTGTGTTGGAGACAAGTGATGGGAAAGTGATTCGTGCTCACCGTTGCATTCTCGCTGCATGGTTAGTTGCCTCTTCTCCCTGTTTTGTTACTCTTTTCACTACCCACGAGCCCGTAAGGCGCGATCTTGTTCGCTCTTTTCTTGCCGTGTTTTGAAGTATAATGCTGGAACAGCCAGGGGATTGTTTTTATATTATCTGCTTCACTTCCGTGGTACCTCCTTGCAGGTCTCCTGTATTCTCAAGAATGCTTAGCAGTGGATTCCAAGAAGGGCAGAGTCAATGTGTTCAAATACAAGATATGGATCGTCCCACTTTGGACCTCCTTCTAACTTTCATGTACACAGGAGTTGTGGACGTAACAGGTGAAACAACTAAGGTAACTTTTAACAAATAGCTTTTGCTATTGTCTTTGGCTGGCTCATCATACCGTACTGCTCCCATTCCTGCTAATACGTATTTGATTCAGGGACTGGAGCTCCTAGTTGCTGCTGACAAGTATGGAGTCCAGGAACTCAAGCAACGCCTGGATGAGGATCTGTGCGGAGAAATCAATGATGAAACTGCTTTTGAATGCTTGAGGATTTCGGATATGCACAGTGCAACATCCCTAAGAGAGGCTTCGTCAGAATATATATTGAACATGGACCCCGAAGCAAGTATGCTTCATTTAAAGGTGCGTGCCTTTCCTGATTTAGCACTGCATTGCACTGACTGACCCACTAACCAGATTCGGGTTGAAAACCTCACATACCGGTATGTTGTTTTCTCCTTCCTGTGGACGTGTGGTGTAACGTTTGCAGTGTATGGTGCTTGGGGATAACAGTAATGACAGGCAACTGGCTACCGACGTGGTAGAAAAGCTTTGGCTTAATAGGGTATGAAGGTTTCAAAGATGTGGTGTGCATACGGTAACACAGGGAAGGTTAGTCACTGTATAGGTGTATCCAATTTTTTTTAGCATTCTGTGCTGTTTTAACTTATTTCCATCATGAAGGGATAAAATGTGGTTACTTAGCAAAATGTAGAAAATAGCTGGTAAAATCTTAAAAGTGGATTTGAAAAGGTGTTCAAACTGATGCTCCAAAAGAGTTGGTAAAAGTCACTGTTGAAACGAACTCGGGTTTTCATTTATCGAGTATCGCACCAGTCGACACGCTCAGTCGTCTCCAGACCATAAAGAACAAGTGGTTGACAGGACGTGTGCGGAAAGTCGATTGAATACAGTGAAATGAGATGCGTTACTTTCCAGAGCGGTAAATAATAGCTTCCACAACGCTTGGGTAGAGCATGGAGCAAATTTCTTTCCAGTTCACCTGGTTGGTGGCGGTCGGGCACCGAGCGCTCATTGGTCGCGCACTGGGCCGAAATTGAGCGCGCATGTACTGTTGGTCGTGATTATTTGTCGGTTTCATGTATAGTGAGTGGGCCACGTTCGCGCCCGCCCACCCTGGCGAAATTTTCGAGTGGAGAATAGTACGCAACGCTTGCGCAGGATGAGACGAGTACGTGAGAGGACTTTCAGGGCTAAATTCCTTGTCGGGTAATGTGCCGGGGAAAACAAACACCTCGAAAATCCCCTGGCGTGGCCACTCGAGCAATTATCACTGAATTTGATGGCCACACGAGCAATTCGGGGACACGTGGGCAAGAGCGAATCACCAAACAAGGCCCTGGAGCAATTCTCTCTGGCGGTCGGTCATTTCTTTTCTCTTCATTTGATGGCTGTGTGGTCAAATCAGCTTGAAGGTGCTGCTTGTAAGGATTTACAAATCCTTACTGAGGCACTCGTTAGCGAGGCCATCCCGAGGGTCACGCGACGAACCTGTCCTTCCTATTTCGTCGCACCGAACCACTCCCGAGTCGGCCTCCGCTCCAATCGCAACCATCACCGAGCCATCTTGCCCTACCTCCCCGCCTAGCTAGCATTTCCCCTATTTTAGGCCTCGTCACTTTCAATGTATCGACATTCTGTAATCCTCATTCTCGTTATTCGATATTCTTCGCACTCTGCAAGTTCATTCATAACACCTGGTATCAGAGCTACTTTCCTAGCTCACCCCGCATTTTAGAGTGTAATACCCCTCGGGGGGGGGGGGGGGGAACGAGGAAGGATGTCCTGGGGTCCAGGAGTTGCCTAGGCCGGCCAAGAGAACGGGTTAGTTGCTCTTCGCGGCCATGGATTTATTGTGCACTCCTCGGCACCGCCGGATCCTTGCCTTCGACGGTCGCGATCGACCGTGACCTCCCTCCCCCCGGGTGACGGGCAGCAGTAGCTGTCGCGACGTTTTCGTAAGTAATTTCCGCTGCGATTTTCCGACGATTTCGGAGGTTGATTCGTGTGGCAGCTGGCGTCAGCGGACCTGCGTCGGCATCTGCATGAACGGCCTCGACTTCGTCATCATGTTTGGCAGCTGGCGTCGGCAGATCTGCGTCAACAGTTGCGCTAAGATTTCGGGATCGTCCTCACGCGACATGTGACGACGGTGGCTCGCCGTCATCTTGTGCGCGAGATCTGCGGAAGGATCTTCGGCAGCTGGCGACAAGGAGTCTGCGTCAGCAAGGGCGACAATTTCGGAGCATCTGTGGAGAAAATGTCGGCTGGGGAAGGCGCCAGGCGCAAATGGTGTTTTGCGTCCGAAAATGTCGGTGGCGAGGAGAGACGACACGCGAATTGCCCGAAGTATGCGGGGTCAACTGTCGTCCCGCCCGACCTGAAGTGCAGCGGCTTTTACTGCATGGCGGGTGCGTCATCGAGTATTTCTGCAGGAGTGCACGTGGACAGACGGGAACTTTAGACCCGCCGACACTTACGGGCTGCAACAAAAAGCATGTGGCTTTATCGCACTAAGCGGAGTGGGGCGCAGGCGCGAGGGCATATCGGGACTGAACACCCGAAAAACATTCGTTTGACACTGCGTGCCTGGAGCTGTTTGCCAGCTGTTTGACAATTTCGAGATCGGTTTTCCCGTTCATGGAAGCCGTTTTCGGGGACAGCCGCAGCAGCCCACGATTAAACGGTGTTCAAGGTGCTACGCCGACAATTTCGGAGTGTGGTAGAGGCCGCCGGGACACACGGGAAGAAACTGCCTGACGGCTAAGCGGGGGTTGAAGAACGGCGTGAAGGGCAGGTTAAAAGCCAGTGTGAACGATCTGTGACCTTCCGTCGCCCGAACCTCACCATCCCCATCAAGTTTTAATTCTGACTCATGCAGTCAACTTACTTGGCCGAATAACGGGGGTGAATGTTAGAATCTAGCAGCAGGAATGAATGAACTATGAAAGAGTTGGGTACAAGTATGAAACCCTAAAAGGGGCTGTACCCCACATTGGCTACCCCACTACAGCCTACACATATAGAACAAGCATATGCTTTGACACACCCCCATAGGCAAAGTGGGGGAGAGCAAGGGGTCACAAGACCAGTCAAGAGAAACAAAGCAAGCTCAGGGTGGATCACAACGTCACCACACACACTGAGCACAAGCAAAGGGCCACAAGGCCAGTTCACATGCACGGGTATATATGCAACAACAACAGCACAGTGATCTCTACCTAGCAGAGCAAGCATGCAGGTATATATAGATCACAGTACAAGCAAAGTCTACAGCAAGTGAGAAAACGTGGGCACAAGGCCTAACAGAGTGCAGAAACGCTGATGATCACCAGACGGAAGCGCCTTGGTGAATATATCAGCAGTGTTGGCCCGAGTGGCCACGTGAGCAAGACGAAGCTGACCACGCTGCTGCAACTCTCGAGCCAGGAAGTAACGCAGAGCAATGTGCTTCGTTCTGTGCTCCAGTCTGTGCTCCTGACACAAGGCAATGGCGGCCTTGTTGTCGACGTACAGCACTGTAGGAGAACGAGGCCGCTCTCCCAAGTTGGTCAGCAGGTAGGTGAGCCAGCGTAACTCCTGTGCAGCCATGGCTGTGGCGTAGATCTCAGCCTCACAACTGGAGCTGAGAACTGAAGACGAGCGTGTAGAACGCCAGGAAACCGAACTAGAGCCAAGGCTGAAGGTGTAACCCTGTGACGACCGCTGCGTAGCCTGGTCGTCAACCCAAGAAGCGTCTGAGTGCCCAGTGAGGACAACGTCGCTCCGTCCTCCAAGCACGAGCCCCATGCCCGATGTACTGCACAAGTAGCGTAGTACCCTCTTAGCAGCATCCATGTGCACCTTTCGGTGCCGACCAGGAGCCACGTAGCGAGCCAGAAGGCCAAGAGGGTACGCAAGGTCAGGACGAGTGCAGGTCATCAGGTACATGAGGCAGCCCACTAGCTCTGGGTAAGGACCACTCGGCTCTACGGACTCGTCCGAAGGTGGAGCTGAGAGCGAGTGACCTGTAGCCAGAGGAGTGTGCTGTGCCGAGGACCAGGTGAAGCCGAAGCGCTGAAGGACCTGCTGCACCATGTGTGACTGAGTCAGTGTGATGGTGCGGCGTGCTCTGTCCCGGGTGATCCGCAAGCCAAGATAGCCCGGCCGCCTGAGGCTCCACTGGGTACCAGGAGGGAACGACCCAGTGAAGCCAGGTGGGCGGCGCAGCCAGATCTCCTCGTGCAGGCTGCCCTGTAAGAAGGCTGTGCTGAAGTCAAGAGAGTGAAGCTCGTAGTCACGCTGAGCGGCAACGTGCAGCAGCACCCGAAGAGTGGTCATCTTCGGGGTGGGGGAGAAGGTCTGGAAGAAGTCTACTCCCTCTCGCTGACTGAAACCTCGTGCAACGTAACGCGCCTTGAAGGCAGGCGGAGAACCTGGCGGCCGCTTCACCCTGAAAATCCACATGCCACTGACGATGTTCGCCCCAGGTGGGGGAACCTCGTCGACGTAGGTGCCTGTGGACTTCCAGGATGCCATCTCTGCGTCCATGGCTGTCTGCCATTGAGAGGAGTACTCACCCGCGATCGCCTCAGCGTAAGAGCGCGGGGTCGGGATGTCTGGAGCATCCGGGTCTCCCTCAGGGGCAAGCAGCATGGACACGAGATGAGGCGCAGCGGCTGCAAGACACTCAAGTTCCTCCTGCCTGTCCTCAAGGACGTCCGTGCCAAGAGCACACTCATCCCCGACGGACGGAGGACAGACAGACTCAGACTCAGCAACAAGACTAGCGGCGTAGTCTAGACGACAGGCAGCAGCAAAGTCAACAAGCTCAGCAACTAAGGCAGACGTAGCAGCAGACTCAAACGACGGGTCAGTGACAACAGCGGCTCGCAGGCGTGACGTGTCTGCAGGCGCGCCGCGTGGGCCTTACGGGCCTGCAGGGGCGGCTCTCTGGCCTAGGGCAGCAGTAGGCAGCACGAGGGCTGCAGGACGGCGCGCGCAGCGCAGCACGTCACAAGGCAAGGCAGGAAGGCAGGCCAACACGTGGGGTAACGCGGTAACCGCAACGGTAGGTGGGCCCGAAAATGACGGTCCTACGGACCTAGTGCTCTGAAACCATGTTAGAATCTAGCAGCAAGAATGAATGAACTATGAAAGAGTTGGGTACAAGTATGAAACCCTAAAAGGGGCTGTACCCCATATTGGCTACCCCACTACAGCCTACACATATAGAACAAGCATATGCTTTGACAGTGAACACGGGCCTACCCTGAGCTGGTTAAAGGCACCTGTGTTGGTGCTCGTTCGACAGCTGTACAGAAAAAAAAAAACAAAAAAAAGGGAGTTGCGGCACTGTTGTA